CTGGCGAGCACACGCGCCCTATAGCAAAAACCTCTCCAAAAAAAAAAAATCAAGTACACAGGTAACTATGAAATGTCCAGTCAACCACCAGTACAGAACTAAGGGCTACCATCTACGCAGGAGCTTGGAAGCAGATCATACCCACGCTGATCTTTCAGATGAAACAGAAGCCCTGGTTGACAGCTTTGAAGAAATGTATAAGATTGTGAGTCACAACCACCCATCTAACCTACTCTTGATTTACAATCCTTAAGAATAATTATTTTAGGGTGCTAAGTTTTGAGGTTAATTTGCTACACAGTAATAAGCAATTTATTTCTTTTCCCAAACTACAAACTAACAAACTGATTTCTTACTAGGGAAAACAATACATATTTACTATATACTTCTCTCCCATTTTGAATTATTCGCTGTCACGGGATGAATGTGTTACATTCTGGACAATAGAATAGTGGTGTGGTAAAACACCATCTGCTCAGGACTGAATTTTTATAATGAACTTTGGTTTGATCCAAATAACCTCTGACTATAAGGTCATTACTTATTTTTCTCAATATAATAAATAACATTACTTTAATCTGTTAATGCTAGTAGTTAACATAGTAAGATGCTTTGTAAAAACTACTTACCCCCAAAAAATGCCCCAGTACAAAGATTTTTTTACCTTTTAAAAGGCTTTCTTCATAAGGCACATATGCTTGCAGGTGAGACAGAGACAGAGAGAGAGAAAGTGAGAAATCACCGTCCAAGGAGGTGGCCAGGTTGCGATCCTTCCTCCATTCTCCTCTGGGAATTCTGAGCACACATGCACATTCTCCTGGCATGATTTTCAAAGCTGTGGGTCCAGACCCAAACTGTAGTTGGCCAAGTGGGAATCTGGAGATTTAATTACCATGCCACCTGCTGGACATTTAAAAGCTATTTCTAAAACTTCAGTATACATCGTGCTTGGTACAGAGGAAACAAATGTTTGTTGAGGTGGATAACAACATTTTGTAAGTAGTATCAATCAATTCAAAGCATTTTAGGTAAGAGCATAAATGTCACTGCCAGTTCAACTAATGATTTCATGCCAGAATATAAATTGCATTTAGTCCCTCTATACTCAAAACTCCGTCTGCTCCTCTAAATCGTTTTTCAAACATGTGGTGGCAAGAATTATATGTGAACTCTGAAAAGCTTAGTGACTGTTAATTTAAGGTGATGGATTCACATTTATAGACTCTTCCTGCTGCGACTCTAATGAAAAAAGAATAAAAATATGTTTAAGGCTGGAGACCAGCAGGTGGCATGGTGGTTAAGGCACTGGACACTCCCCACATGGTTGACCGTGGTTTGGGTGCTGGACCTGACAGTTTGCTTTTTCACTTTCCCTCTCTTTCTCTGGTCAAATTAAAATAAATGTGATTTAAAAATATGTTGGGGCCGGCAAGTGGCATGGTGGTTAAAGGTGCTGGACTCCCACATGGCCAACCACGGTTCAAGTCTCAGACCTGGTGGCTTGCTTTCTCACTTCCTCTCTCTCTCTGATCAAACTGGAAAATAATAATGATAATAATAAAAAAGCTAAATAATTCTTTAAAAAAAAATGTTTAACACAATGACAAAGAATGGGATAGCAAAAGACATTTACAAAAAATTAAAGAGGTAAAGGGGGGGAGATGGTAGGTCGCATGGTAGTTAGGGGTGCTGGACTCCTCTGTGGCCGACTACAGTTTGAGTCCCGGACCTGATGGCTTGCTTTCTCACTTCATCCTTCTCTGGTAAAATTAAAATAATAAATGTAAGTAAAATAACTTTAAAAAAAGAAATAAAGGGACCAGCAGATGGCGTAACAGTTATGTTGCTGCTAGACTCCCATGTAGTTGATTGCGATTCAAGTCCCAGACCTGGTGGCTTAAAACTCACAGTGGGCATGTGTGCGTGTGTGCCCAAGATCCCAAGAGGAGAATGGAGGAGGACTGTGGCCTGGCCACCCATCCTGGGCGGCGAGGGGTCATTTCTCATTTTCTGTCTCTCTGGCAAGTACATGCGACCTATAGCATAAAAATCTCCAAATTAGCAAAATTAAAGATTTAAGCTTAAATGACCAGAGAGAAAGATTAAAACTAGAAGTAAGCTACTCTACCCTAAAAATCCTTTAATAGATTTGGAACTTAAGAGATAACACCAAAGTTGTGGACAGAGCAGAACACATAACTGGTTTGAAGTGTACATAAATGTAAGTATACAAAGTATATGTAAAGCATATGTAAAGTGTATATATGTGTATGTATAACACACACAGAGTTGGTCCACTAGGTCCTGCTCCTTTGTCACATTGTATGTGACCAGAACCATGACTTCTCTCAGCTGTGTGCAAACTTGACCAAATTTCTTAATGTTGCTGAGCACTGACTTCCACATGTGTAATGAGAACAAGAAAATTACTATTTCATTCTATTATCATAAGCACTTAGTCAACAGAATAGAACTGTCTGCTTAGAATCTAGGTACATGGTAAGCATGTGATAAACTATTATTTTAAATCTTTGATGCTATTTGCTTTTTAATTCATTATAGTACGCATATTACTTTGAAAATCACTAATTTAAATAAAATCACTGTTGGTGGACACTTGAATGATACAGACATAACAGCACTTTCATCCTGCAAACACAGCCTTGGGAAGAACATATACTACAGAGACACCTTGGCTCAGTCTCAAACCAAGGTGAACAATTATAAAGTGTCACAGGTACATATCACAGACAGTTATCACTGTCATATGTACCTGTGACACTTTATCACTGGGAAGAAATGGGGACTAAAAAGTCATCAATACATGGTAGAGTGGAAGAGGTGGCTCTGAGAGCTTCCTAATGTCCCTCTGTGAGGATAATGGCGAAATACTACAGACCTGCAAAGCGAGCTCTGATCACTATGATGACTAGAAGTAAAGCATATAGGGATAGATTTGAGGAGGAAGTCAACTCAGTAGTCCAGGAATAACATGTAAGCAATATGTTACCTAGAAATGTGCTGTCTGAGAATCATTTATTCCAACAACAAAACTAGAGGTTAATTACTTTATTTTATTATTGAATTATATTGTAAAGTCTACATCTACAATTTATTCAGGAAGAAATGCTTTGCATTTACATCAAGGACATATTTACTCTAGTGGAATAAAACAGACACAGACAAAAGACCAAGTATATGTTTTTAAAAAATTACTACATGTTTTAACCTGGTCCTATTTTTGCTATTTTTGGACCATATTTCCTATTAAAGAACTGATCTTACATACATGTTAAATCTGATTTATCTCCCCACATTTTTAAACATTAATGGAGTCTCTCACAATTTCTAATTATAAGCAAAATTAAAAACAATATGGGAAGCAAAGTTTAAAAACAAAGAAAGCAAGAGCAGACTATTACCTTACAGTGGAAAAGTTGAGTAAAATGTGCCCCCTCTGTGGCTCATCTCAAAGAAGCACTTTCACTCAGAGAGGCAAGCATTTCTGACCTAGAGAGAAGTACATTTCTCAATTGCCCTGTAGGGCCATACCTACAGGTTTTCTGGTCTCAATCACAAAGTAAGTGAAAATGTCTACAAAATATCTAAAAGCTAACTAACATTAGAATAAGGCTAATTCAAATCAAAACTGTGTGCTGGTCTAAATATACATCTTCAGCTTTTTTCTTTCTTAAAAGTATCTTTTTATTTCAGATGATATTTAAAAATAACTTACATTTTTAGTGCGCCTTTTGGTCAATGACTATAAAGTTGTAACTCGAATGAATAAATTGAAAATTTTTGTTTTACCTGATTCTATTAAAATTTCAATTACCTACTATTTTATTTAACCAAATTATACATGAGGTAAGTGTCATCTAGAAAAATAAAATCAACCACAAAGATAAAGTCAACCATTTCAAGAGTATACAAAATCATAATGCCCACTTCATAGTCAGAGCTTACAACTTTAAGCATTACCTACTGCTTATTATATCATTTAAAAGCAAATACTTTTTGCACTTTTTAGCCAAATTTTGTTGAGAAATATAGGGCGAAAAAACTTGGCGAAGTTTGTTTTTGGTAACAGAAGACAATGCAATAATGAGTCCCAATGGAGAATAAGACCAGTGTTTAAGGTTTCTGACTTCTAAACAAACACATGCACACATTTATCTAAAAAATATTTTGGTAGCAAATTGGATTGACAAAATATTGGATCGACAAAATAAATGTTTTGCTGTAAATAAAAAGTACAAATTTCCAATTAGAGCCTTATAGCTAGCTAACAGCTTTAAGAAACGTGTAGCCAGCTAACAGGTCTCAAAAACTTGCGTTATGTTGCACCAAAAGATCCCTGCTAAAAATCAACTGGTATTTTAATGGGTCTCACTGAAGTAGGCCTTTCATGATACTAGAAACCTTTTAAAAAGTGAGTTAAGATAGGGCTACAATAATAACGTTACTATTAATAAGTTACAGAAGAGATTATTGCTGTACTTTTCCTCATCAACACTATCGAACTTGCAGTTACAAAAAGTACAACCAAGTTACCTTTCCTCTTACTGAATTTTGTTGTTTTTATATGTTAAGTTTTTATTCAGCAGAGAATAATTTTTAAAATCTTTTCTGTAAGAATTCAAAGTATTTAAATGTGTAGTTTCACATTATACTACCATGTTTTGCCCTTATTTCCCAAATACACAAAAACAATATACATTTTCCTCAAAAATGAAGTACGATGTCCACATTAAAAAAATAAAGCCTACAAAAAAGTTCCAGAGCTAAAAAAGATTATTCATATGGCACGAAGTGATCTCCTACTAGTCCCAAGTCCAAAACATTTTAATGAAGTCCATCTATATATCTCGTTTGCTTTTCAATGGAATACTACATTTATTGAGGTGAAATCACATTTTTAGTTCTTGAGTCAACAAGTATACACAAATGTTTTTCTATACAAGTTATTAAAAACAGGAGACCAAATTGAATGTGCCCAAGAGTTATTTCAGTTGGATTCTCTAGACTCAGTAGGAAGAAAATTAAGGAAGGGATTTCCTTGGTTGGTTTCCATAGCTTGATAGACCAAAAACAAAAAAACTGCCACAATAACAAACAGCAAGATTTTTATCCATACAGGAACAGATCGTCCCTTTTTTGTCTTTTCTGACTTGACATCTGCCAAGGGAACATACTTAGGAACATATTTAGATGAAAAAGATTCTTCCATCCTGAAATCACTGAGTTCTAACGGTCGGCCTGCAGCCCCTTTGATCGGTCTGCGGCAACTAGCACTGTTGGAGTAAAAGGAGGAAGAAAAAATAATTTTAGATAAGGTCATGATTTAGATAAACAACATACATGTCATTGACAATCCTAATTCTAAGCACATTACAAAAGGTAATGATGGAAAACTGACACAAAGAAGTGAGGCCAATCGACCTACTTAAAATTTCTACATATTTCAAAAAGTAAATGCATCTTTTATTAGAAAAAAGTATTCAGAACACTGGTATTCATTAAACTTGCCTTCTTTAAAGTTTTTCATGTCTAATATATTTAGGAGCAAAGAAAAAAACAACAAAAGGTAGTTTGTGATTCCTTCCTTAGGAAATAACCCAGCAAACTTATCTAAATACAGTCTTTTCAATTAAAAAAGAGAAACTTGGGAAAAAGTGATTTCCATCTTATTAGGTTTCTGCTTAGATTTTAAAATATGGATTAAGTAATAGGTTAATGAGATTTATTTATTTACAATCTTTCAGTTTACCATAAAACTGCGTTAACTTTCGAGACTATGAATGGATGACTTACGGGAATTAAACTGTTCTTTTAGGAACAGTTCCCAAAAGAATAGTTGAATTCTGAGAACAGAGATACAATAACTTTGTGATGAAGAATTAGAAATAAATATTCCCTAGGAGCACGCTACTATTTATTTCAATGTATCTGAGTACCTAATTCCTGTTGGTGTAGACGCTTCAAAGGGAAACATTTCCTTAAGAATATCCCTTTCTACTCTTCTGTCCTCTGTTTTTTCTCCCACCTAATAGAAACAAACAAATCACAAATTAAAATTTAGTGTAAATATGCAATACTTAAAACACCATTTAAAAAGTTTTAGAGAGCAAAATGCCCTTGAATCTACCCTAGCTTTTAAAACTGCTGTTTTTAAGTTTACTATCATCTAGGTAGGCACAAACTTCCAAGGCTCTCTCCAAATTTTTTCAATATAAAAATATTATGTGGTTGTTGAGGGTGGGGGACTGTCACACAATCACATAAGTGGGAGAAATAGTAATAATTCAGTAATCTCATATGACAAAATTAATTTTCTCACTAATTTACCATGAATAAAGCATTAAGATACACTGTTTCTCTGTTAAGAATTCTGTAATAAAATAATGGTCAAATAAATATAGAGGATACCCAATTAACACGGACCTTTAACAAATGTTCGTTTACATTTTAAACTAGAGTCAATCCAATCTTCCCAACTTAAAAACCAGGAAAAACGTTTTAGCTTGATTATTTTCCTGTGTTTACCTTCATGACCAGATGAAAATAGTAAATGTTTCATCTCCTTTGGTTGCAATTCATTACAATTATAATGCACCATGCAGTTAGTACTTTAAAGCTTAATTACACAGGGGTTAACCAATTCAAGCACCATCCAAAGTCACTTTAAAGTTTGACTTTCCAATGAAATAAAGTATAGCCAACTCACACAGCCCAGTATCGCTCTCAAACTTGCACCCATGACAGACACAATATATTATAAGCAGCATACAACTGACCATTCCCTTAAAAACTGGAACTTAAGAAGTACTCATTAGCAAGAGGATAGTATTAGTATATCATACTATCATGTATTAGTTAATTTCCACTTTCAGTAGTAAAAGTGTGTCTTTTTTTTTTTGGAGAGATTTTCACTATAGGGCGCGTGCACTTGCCAGTCAGAGAGAGACATAGAGACAGAAAGCGAGAAATCACCCCCCAGGGGGGATGGTCACGCCGCAATCCCTTCTTCTCCATTTTCCTCTCGGGATCTTGGCCACGCACGCACACGCGCCCGGCTTTAGTTTTAAGCCACCGGGTCCGGGACGCGAACCACGGTCAACTACGTGGGAGTCCAGCGACATAGTCATTATGCTAACTGCTGGTTCCCAAAGTGTGTCTTTAAAGATCCAATAAAAAAGTTCTGCTCCCTCCCACATCGAAAAAAAAATATATAAACACACACACACACACACACACACATATATATATATATATACACAAATATTTCCTCTTTGTAAGATCAATGATAGCATCGATCTAAATTTTATTCATTTACTTCAGCTCTTGTCAATGGTTTCTTTGGTGTTCTTCTGGGTATGTCTGAGAATTCAGTGATTGGCAGAATAGGAGTTGCATGCTTGAAATTTCCAGTCACCCTATTGACAACCTGCCAAGATTCAAATTATTCAGACTCAGAATTATCCAAACATAACAAAGATACTTTGTAAAAGAAGAAAAAATTGTACTTCTATAATATCTGACCTTACATTAATAAAAACCTAGGCATCAGAGCCTAGAAACGAATATTCGGTGCTACACATTTGAAGCCTTGTCAATCTCCAAATATTTTGTAAAACGTATCCTTAAATACTCAGATAATGAATTAACAAAAAACGGACTACATTGAAAAATTCTAAAACTCAGAACTATATGGAAAAAGTTTAAAAACATGTAAATTTGAGATTTGCCAAAATTCACCACCTCCCCACTTCCAATCAAAGAGTAATTTACAAAGAATACCACTTGTATAGTTTATAAAACATATTTACTAAGGTTTCGTTGCTTGAAGCCATTATAGTTTCAGCTATGGGAGTACTCTCTGAAATTATTGCACCATCTATACGATAATGTTCTGAAGCTTCCACCTGTTAGTTCGAAAACAAAACAAAAACAATAAATATAAAATAATCACTAAAACCCTACCAATCCGAAAACCAATTCTAAGCAATAAGCCTTGCATCACCCTTTTTCTTGGAGTTCTTCTCGACCCTCTGGTGGATTCCCTAGTTAATGCATGCAGAGGTCCGCCTGCTGAAGATCCACTTGTCCATTCAGTTTCTGATACTCCAGGTTGAGAATAGCTCTATTCAAGCATCAACACATTAAAAAGTCATATTCTAATATCAAACACCTTAATAATGGCTATAACAACACACTGTGAAGCCATAAAGTCTCCAAGTGCCAGTATTTACAAACCATGCTAAGCTCTCATATTTCTTAAAGCACCGACTGAACTTACATATAGCAGCGGAAAACACTTAAAGATGGCAAATTTATTAGAGCCTACCTATCATAGCTCCGAAATTATAAAAGTGAAGGGGGAAAAAGCACATCGATCAACACGGGTTCCTTCTGTGACTCATTGCTATTCGGCTCTAGTGTTGCACCTGTGTATCTTATTGTCTAAACAAAGAGCAGACTAATCATGATTTATAAAGAAGTGTTTTGTTATGCGTCAGTTACTTTTTTAAAGAGCTTGTTACCATAGGATGTGTGGGTTCACCCGGAGAGAGAGAGAGACAGACAGTGAGAGAGAAAGTGAGAAATCACACCCCCTCCCTAGGATGGTCATGCCACAATCCCTTCTCCTCCATTCTCCTCCTGGGATCTTGGGCATGCGTGAGTGCCAGTATGCACTTCAAGCCACTGGGTCTGGGCCTCAAACCACAGTCCTCCAAGTGGGAAAATCCAGCGACATAACTGCTATGTAATCTGCAAGCCCCAAGTCAGTTATTTTAAAACAAAAGTAAATTATAAAATTTAAAACAAATTTTATAATTGTTAACATGGAGTAAACATTATTCCTTTTTTTTTCTTTTCAGCTTTTTGCCAGAAGGCACGTACACTTGCTGGAGAGACACAGAAACAGAGAGAGAGAGAGAAAGTAGGAAATCATCCCCCACAGGGGATGGCCACACTGCAATCCCTTCTCTCCCATTCTCCTATTGGAATTTTGGGCATGCATGTACATGTCAGGTGTGATTTTCGAGCCACCAGGTCCAGAACTCAAACCGCAGTCAGCCATGTGGGAGGGAGTCCAGCACCTTAACCACCATGCCACCTGTTGGCCCCACCATTATTCCTTTCACGTGATTAGGACTACTTTAGTAGAATCAGTTTTTTTTTTTTTTTTTTTTTAAAGAGAGATTTTTGCTATAGGGCACATATGCTTGCTGGAGAGACAGAAAGCAAGAAATCACTGCCTGGCTATGATGGCCACCACATCCCTTCTTTTCATTCTCCTTTCAGGATTTTGGGCATGCAGGCACAAACACCTGGCCTGAGTTTCAAGTCGCCGGGTGTGGGACTCAAACCACAGTAGATCACATGTGAGTCAAGATGTAATCATTACACTATCTGCTGGTCCCAGTAGGATCAGTTTAAATTATAATCCATACATAGCTATCTTAACTCAATAATGTCCAGCTGTCAAACTGTTTTTGAAAAGTCAAAATCAAGGGACCAGCAGTTAGCATAATGGCTGTCGCTGGACTCCCACGTAGTCAACCTGCAGTTCGCAACCCGGACCCGGTGGCTTAAACTCACGCCGGGCGCATGTGTGTGCATGCCCAAGATCCCGAGAGGAGAATGGAGGAAAAGGGATTGTGGCGTGGCCATCCCCCCTTGGGGGGGGTGATTTCTCGCTTTCTGTCTCTCTGGCGAGCGCATGCACCCTATAGCAAACAAACAAACAAACAAACAAACAAAAACCCAACAACAAACAAACAAAAAAACGTCTCCCCCCCGCCCCCAAAAAGTCAAAATCAATCAGCCAAAGAACCTGGTGCTCATCCTTTCATAAATATGTAAGCTTAATATGTCACAGCCAAATAGCAATGCCACCCATGACTCACTACAAAAAGATAGGAAGATGGGGCCGGCAGGTGATGTGGTGGTTAAGGTACTGGACTTTCACATGGCCGATGGTGGTTTGAGTCCATCTTAGACCTGGGCTTGCTTTCTAACTTTTCCCCTCTCTCTCTCTGGCCAAATTCAATAATAATAATTATTATAATAAATAAAATAAAATAATTCCTAAAAAAAAAAAAAAAAAGGTAACAGTAGCTGTTATCTTCAGTCAAAGATACATTTTTCTCCAAAAGGTTGACTTGATTTCTCACTAGAAAACAATTTTGCAGTTCTTACACACTAGTTTGAAACCCATTAAGTCAATGCTTCTCAAACTATAAAGTGCACTATCCATCATCTGGAGTTTTTGTTACAATGCAGATTCTGACTCAGTCGCTCTGGAATGGGGCCTGAGATTCTGCACTCCAAGTAGCAAAGAGTTTTTATTTCAATGCTATTAACCAGGCAACTCTGTTAAATTCCTTATTTAGAGAACATTCATCAATAGTTAGTTATTGGGTTGTCAGAAAAGTAATGCAGCATTTTTGCATAGAAAATCAGAAAAAATACATCATGACTTTTCTGACAACTCATATTTTTGTGGAAGGTGCTTATGTTGTCATTTGTGCTTTCAAACTAATATTTTATTGAGATAGCTGGTTGTTTTATGTTCAAGTCAGTCTTTATTAAATTTAAATAAAGGTATTTTTTAACTTTTATGACAAGAGCGGTCATTGAACAAGTATGTTTATTTGGTAGGACGCATTACTACCAAGACCCCACAACAGACAGACATGGCTTTCTGTGCACATAGCAGGCCCGCAAGCATGGTGAATATAGCTAAATCCCACCAGACCTTCTGTAAAGAAGTGTGGCTAGCACCAACCTCATAAAGTGACGCAGTACAAAAAGGGCAAGGATTCTCTGTATGCTCAGGGAAAGCGGCGTTATGACAGGAAGCAGAGTGGCTATGGTGGACAGACTAAGCCTATTTTCCAGAAAAAGGCAAAAACTAGAGAGAAGATTGTGCTGAGGCTTGAATGTGCTGAGCCCAAATGCAGATCTAAGAGAATGCTGGCTATTAAGAGATAGAAACATTTTGCACTGGGAGGAAATAAGAGAAAGGGTCAAGTGATCCAGTGCTAAGCCTCATCTTTTTTATCATGAAGACGACAAAATCTTGAAGTGAATGGTCACCTCATTTCATTATAGTTGGTCTTTTGGTAAGGGAATAAAGTAATCAATAAAATTCCCCTTTTGGGGAAATTTGATTCACGGTATAACAAAACAAAATAAAACAAAAAAACAGATATGATCTCATGTACATGACCTGTACTTATCCATATTTAAAATGGACATTATATGACTTTTATTTTGACTCACAATTTAAATTTTCTGGATTCTTTATCTTATCAATTAGAAAGTATTTGCCGAATGTAAAATTAATGTCAGCCAAAAGACGAATTTGTAAACAAATCACACACACATAAAATACATGTTTACTATAGTCAACATTCTAATTATTTGAATTCAAAAACAGTTTTAATCAGAGGCTCTCAGCTCTGGCTAAACACTATCAACAGGACAGCTTTAAAAAGTATTAAATGCCCCCAAACCTACCTCAAACCAATCAAATCAGAATCTCTGCTAGAAGGTCTTGAGTATAGTTAATTTTTATATCTTCTGAGAGAGTTTTAATTTGAAGCAAAGTTTGAGAACAACTAGTTGAAGGTAATATAACTGGTAATGAAGTTATTGTTACATCTCAAAACTAAGCTAAAAATAAATAAATAAAAACCAAAATAGACAACCTTCAACACTGCTCCCTTTAGTGCCATTCAAAATAATTAGATTTATAAGATATTCTAGATTGATAATATATTTGATATTAACAATGCATACTCAGTATCTAAAAACTTTTCAAAGAATTAAAGTTATATTACTTAAAAGAACTAACAAAGTTATCAGTTATGCAACTGATACCATATAAAGACCAGATAAAGGTAAAAGCAAGTAGGGCAGCCCTATTTCTTACAATTAGTCACCTACCAAATTGTAGGACTTTTTTTTTCTTTGGAGAGGTTTTTGCTACGGGGTGTGTGCACTTGCCATAAAGAGAGAGAGAGAGAGAGAGAGAGAGAGAGAGAGAGAGAGAGAGAGAGAGAGAGAGAAATAATCCCCAGGGGTGATGGCCACGCTGCAATCCCTTCTCCTCCATTCTCCTCTTAGGATCTTAGGCATGCACGCACACACACTCGGTGAGAGTTTAAGCCACTGGGTCCGAGACTTGAACCGCAGTTGACCACACGGGAGTCGAACAACATAGCCATTCCACCAACTACTGGTCCCAACTGCAGGACTTTCTATTTGCTGACTTGAATACATAACAAAAATAATCTTATGAAATTTTTCGGCCAAGTCTTAATTGAAGCAACTATGGTTAACTGGAAAACATGTTTACATTTTTATTAGTTATCCTTGAAGATAAAAGCCAAGTTTATTATTGTTTATTTTTTCTGTGGAAGGAGAGAGAGATGTTTACTGGTTGCTGTGGGAATACCTAAGAATACTCCTAGATCATTAATATTTTATTCAGATTTAATAAATTATTTTTTAATTTGCTAGAGAGCACTGGACAGGGACAGGGAGGGAGAGGGAGGGAGAGAGTGAGAGGGAAAAAGAGAGAAAAATAAAGTTAAGAAAGCGTTCCCCATAATCTTTTCTCTTCCATTTCTCCTTTTGAAATTTTGAGAATGTAACTAGTGTCTCTCTCAAGTTACCAGGTCTGGGAATTGAACTGTGCTGTAACCTATGTGGAATTCAACACCTTAACCACCATGCCACTAGACTAAATAAATTCTCTAGCTGAAGACTATTAACCAATTTTGGGACCAGCAGTTAGTGGAATGGCTATGTCGCTGGACTCCCATTTAGCTGACCGTGGTTCGAGTCCTGGACCCAGTGGCTTAAAAATCATGCAGGGCGCGTGTGCGTGCGTGCCCAAGATCCTGAGAGAATGGAGGAGAAGGGATTGTGGCGTGGCCATTCCCCCTTGAGGGTGATCTCTCCTTTTCTGTGTCTGTCTCTGTCTGTCTGGCAAGCGCATGCACCCTATAGCAAAAACTCCCCCCCACAAAAAAAGACAATCAACCAATTTTATAAGTTTCCCATCTTTATCTAATTTAGAAGTAATCATCTACAAGGAAGGCTAATCAGTAACACTTCTATTTATTT